TTTTGGATTGAAAATTGCGACCTTGATCAGTTTGTATGATTCTAGGCAGACCAAAAGTTGCAAAAAACTTCAGAAGAGCTTTCGTTATGGTGGGCACCGTAATCTTCCGCAGTGGAATGGCTTCAGGGAACCGAGTGGCAACACACATGACAGTCAAGAGAAATTGATTACCAGCTTTTGTTCTGGGCAGAGGACCTACACAGTCCACTAGGACACGCTCAAAAGGCTCACTAACTGCAGGAATGGGTTTAAGAGGGACAGGTGGTACCTCTGATTAGGTTTACCCACTATTTGGCAAACTTTACATGTCCTACAGAACCTGGCAACATCCTTTTTCAGGCCTGGCCAGAAAAAATGCTGCAGAATACGGTCATGGGTTTTAGTGATTCCCAAATGACCTGATCATGAGTGGTCATGTGCCATCTGCAGTATTTTGCTCACGATAACCTTGAGGAATAACAATTTGATATACTACTCCCCAATCCTCTCCAACACCTTTCTGTTGCAAGGCAGGCCTTGAGATCCATTTCCTCATGAGTAATTCATTCTCAACATAAAATTTATGGGCCTTATTATTTACTGAATCACTCACACTTTCAAAGCATTTAATGAGAGTTTCATCACTTTTCTGAGCTTGGCTCAAACTCTCACGCGACATTGATTGCGGGAAAAACCTCAGACTTTTGGGTGAAGTCCTCCTTGAGGGGTGCTGGTTCTACAAGGTCATCTGCTGGCAGCTTGTCCTCCATCAAAGCAGAGCCTAGAACAGAGTCTTCCAAGTTCACTTCCTTCAGCTTACGGGCTTGGGACCTGGTAAGAGCACTGACAGCAAACACATCAGGATGGGCTTCCAACAACTCATCTTCACCCATCATGCAACTGGGTTTATCCACCACCTCAGGTACAGGAAGAACCTTGTCTCCAGCAAGATCATTCCATTATAAATTCAACCCCCTGAACAGGGAATGAGTTTCTCACCGCAACTTTAAAGAATCCAGAGGCCAACCTGGACTTTAGGTGAACATGATGTAAAGGTGCCGGTACATAAGCCATTCCAATTCCTTGTACCACTGTACTTGCATTACAGGAAGTATCAGCATTGAATGGCAGAAAACCAGACAGGATGAATGACTGGGAACCACCCGTGTCCCTCAGTATTCTCACTGGTTTCTCATCCTCAGGACGACCTGTTAATGAGACAAGACCATCAAAAATGAAGGGCTTAAAACAGTCATCAGGTTCACTCAGGTTTGAAAGTTGTGGGGAAGATCTGAGCGTCTTGACTAGGCCAACCCCCTTAGCTGGTTTTGGTGGTTGGGGTGCCTGTTTACGTTTCAGGGCCAAACAGTCAGAAACAATATGCCCCATCTTGTGGCAATAAAAACATTGTCTTTCTGATTTGGAAATTGGAGGGTTCTTAATTGGAGATGGTGGCACATCTTTCCATGTCTTGTCACGAGACGGTTGGTCAGATTTACACACAAAAACATTTTTGTGAGTAAGGGCAAACTCCTCAGCCAGGACAGCTGCCTCTTGTAGGGTGGAGGCTTTTTGCTCATTTAGGTATAAAACTGTGCGGTCTGGAAGGCAGTTTTTGAACTCCTCCAACAATACCAGCTCACGTAGTGAGGTAAAATCAGCAGCTTTAGTTGCCTGGCACCATCTGTCAAATAACATTCCTTTTTCCCTTGCAAATTCAACAAATGTTTGTGTAGAGGATTTTCTTAAGGCTCTGAATCGTTGCCTGTAGGCCTCAGGCACCAACTCATATGCCCTGAGTATGGCAGCTTTAACTTTGTCATACACAAGACTGTCTTCAATTGTGAGTGCTGCACATACTTCCTGTGCCTTACCAGCCAGTTTACACTGCAACAAAAGAGACCAGACATCTGTGGGCCAGTGAAGGGCAACAGCAACACGTTCAAATGCATTAAAATATGCCTCCACCTCCGTCTCCCGGAATGGTGGGACCAGGGAAATATTTTTGCTGAGGTCAAATGTAGACGACGCTAGAGAAGAGGAGGTTTATCTGGTGACATAATGATGTCTTCATTGTCACCAGAACCTGTAGTGTGAACAGTGGCTGGCTTATGAGACTGTAGCTCCAGCTGACGCAACTTAATGGCAGTTTCAGCTTCAATTCTCCGGCAGTTAAGCTGGAATTCAAATTCATCTTTCCGTTCTCGTTCTTTAGCTTCAAGTTCTAGACGAACTAGACGTACCTTCAGACGTGACTCAACAGTCGGACTTGATTCAATAGAGAAGGGCTCAAACCGTGGGAGAGAGGCTGGTGGTTTTTTTTCCATCCGGCTTGATAACAGGTGGTGTCTTCTCTACCTCCTCAGGCTTATCAGCAGATTCAGAACAGGTGGTGTCCTCTTTCTCCATTTCTCCTGAGAGCACACCTTTTTCAACCAAGACACTAAAGACAAGAGACTTCAGTTCACGTTTGAGCAAAGACTTAGGGACATGGAGACCAAAATACGAAGCAATTTCATACAAATCATCCTTTCTACAGACATCAAACTGTTGTACAGTTGGAGTATCTAAAAACTCCTTCAAACTAAATTGCGCCATACACAAACAAAATAATCCCGGACGAGCCCCCACTTATGTTACAACCCCCCCAAGACCAATAAGGGTAAAATCTGGCGCTGGTTGTAACACAAAAAAAACAAACAGTTGTCTGTAGCAAAATGTGGATCATTTATTTACAGTGCAGGTAAGTCAACTAAAACAAAGAACAGAACACAGGGAAGTATTTATCTTCAGGGTCTCCAAGGCCAAAATAACAAACAAAACACCCCCCCCCCCCCTGTCTAGCTAAGAAATTAAAAAGAACTTTCTAATGGTAAATAGGAAAAAGAAAGTACAAAACCTGAACTCCCTGGCTAGCCATCAAAACAGGAGAAAAAAGTTGAACACAAATGGCAGAGAACCCCTACCAGCTTCCACTGTGAAAAAAAACAAAACAACAGGTTTTGGTTAACACACTTCAAAGGCTCACAGCCAAAATCACTCAGTCACCAGTAAAGTGTCAGATCAGGTCAAGGCCCAAACAAGAAGGGATCCAACACTGGTTGTATGAAGCTCTTTATGGAGTGGCTGATGAGCTCCAACACATTTCACCTGTGCATCTGAAACACAGAGAGAGAGGACTCTCTCATGAAGAGAGCCCCTAGAGGTCAGTGACCGTAACACCAACTCATTGAAAATATAGAAGGATTTGTGGTCAAATGTAAAATGACATGAAATGTTCAGTGACAAATTAAATCGAGTGGAAAGGTCCTGTCAGCTCCATGTCAATGTCTGCATGGGCCAAAAGCTATTATCAATAACTGCAGGCATGAGCTCCTCACCACCACAGACCTATAAAAAGCCAAGACATGCAGACTGCAGACCTCAAACAGAATGACGTGAGGAAATTAAAATGTGAAGTGTCTTCTCAGGTGGCAGACTCTGGTTAACTCATATAGGCTGACACAAGGCTGTTTCTAAAATTGACTCATGCTGTATGCATGATAACATTGTTGCAAGTTGCCACATGGGAGAGCTTAAGTGTAGACAGACTAAGTCTTTAGCATGTATTGGGCTTTGTTTAATTTGGGCTACAGACTACAGAATTGAAGCTCTTATCCAGCCAAAATATCGTGTAAAATAGATTCTAGGAAACACAAATTTTCTGATCTCATAAACACATTCATAAAAACTAATCTTTTATATTAACCAGAAGCCATTTCCACCCTTAAACTCCAGGCTAGCACACTGAGCTGCAAAACCTTCTGCAGGTGATGTCTTGTGCTAGAAGTCTCATACATACAAAATCAAAATAAATTGTGACAGCATAGGACCCTGTGGTGCTCCTTTGCTGTTTGCCATCTAGTTTGACGCACAATCCTTCAGCTTCAAAATCTGTGGTCTGTCATTCAGGCAATCTTTGATGCAATCAATTGTCAATTGTTGATGCCTCCACTTGTGTCTTCTGGAGTTTCTGACTAAGCAAATCAGACTGAATTGGGAGAAATCCAAGAACATTCTCTTCACAGTGCTGCCTGCTTTGTCTTGATGCTGAGTTTGTTGAAGAAGGTGTATTGTTTATTCAACTCCAAATCCACAGAGTTAAGCAACTGCATGGGATCTTGATTTTTGCTTGTTTACTTACTCTGGGCAAACAGGAGTTTCTGCAGGAACTTCATGATGTAAGATGTGAGGGCAACATGTCCATAGTGATTGATGACTGTTGGTTGAGTTATGACATGTCACCGCTAATGGTTCTAAACTTTCCAGTTCTTGGCAAATTGAATCATCCATTACTGATCTGCATGTGAACCAAATCACATCCAAATTGAACCACTCATTCTGGGTGGTTTTGTCCAATTAGTTTGATAAAGGCACTGAAATGACTCTTTGGTTGAAGAAGTTTGTTGAAATGGTCTGAAGAGGTGCACCTTCTCACACTATATTATAATTTGCAAATGCAAGATAAATAAACATAAAATCAGCAATGCTTTTAGTTCAGTTTTATTATTACACATTACTGTACACAACAAAAGCTCCACAAAGAGTAGATGTAATCAGATCCTCGGTTCCAAATATTGCTGCTTATGGTAGTCAGATGCAAGTTAGAGACATGAAACTGTATTGAATCAGTGCTTAACTGTTGCATGTCAGGATGTTGAGTAATGGGAGTTTAATAAAACAAAACAAACCAAAAAAAGTTGTGCTTGTTCCTACTGCACAAAGAGAAAGATAATAATGGATACAGGTGTGGGATTCACTAATCCCACACCTGTATTCAGTATTCATGTCTGCAGATACATTTTAGGGATTAAAATATATACTTGACTTGAATTAGGCTCTCACAGATAAACAGAGGAGTAACCATCTTAACATTGTTCATAAATTATATCATTTCAGTTTTTGTACTTGCTTTCCTATGTTTATTTTTCAACCTGGACAGCCGAACATTACCAGAACAATAATCCACCAGACATAAGAAATTATACATAGAGAACTTTATTGAATATATCTATATATTTATATTTTGTATATACTTGTATCTTTTTTGTCTTTTCCAAAGAAAATCTGTATATTGTATTGCTTCCCTTTTACATTAGTGACATTAGTTACACTTGAATCCGTCTCAGTTTTCTCTCTGAAGAGTTTCAAGTTGAGCTTGTGTCAGTAGCCAAAGTGCTGGAAAAGGAACTTGGTTTTCACATTGGCCTCAGAATGGCTTTAACATTGGTACATAACCATAAAATAATTTTAAAAAAATGTATAGCAGACAAAGTTATTAGAAACACTTCACAAAACATATGTAAGCTTAGGACACATATCAGTAGGCACGGGGTGGGTACAAGGTATCAAGAAATACCACAGTTTAAAATGCAGTTTCAAAAAATTGTCATTACTGTCTATAATTTGAAATCTGCCAGGGAAAGTGCCAGGATGACAAGCGATTTCTCTTGTGTGCAGCAAAAAGCAATACCTGTTGCTGCCAATCAACTGCTCCTGGGTGTCTTCTTGGTTGAAAGAAGACATCTATATTTTTCCTTTCTGACAACAGAAGAAAAAAGAAACTATAGGAGCACCATACATGGTATTATTGTGGCAGGAACCGTGCTAACTGGTGCTTATCTTCTTTACATAGAAGATATTGGATTATGTTACACAAATTTATTTAAACTTTTCTGTTTGCAAATGCCATTGTACCAAGAAACAGTGATAAATTTACCAGCCCATGCCTACATCACAGTATTTACACACATTTGTGCCTTAGAAATAACAGATGTAGCTTTTTGTACTTAATGTTTACAGTGTGAACACATTTAGCATTACCGACACAGACCACAGGCAGCTCACTTTGCCAGCACTAAGGGACCACTGTCACCTTTTTAGTCCCAAGATAAAAGAGCTGGAACTCTGAAACAGTATAACATTAAGAATAATGATTCATACCACCAGCAAAATAAATATATTAATATAAACTCTATCACCTACAGGTATACACTAGTTAGAACAATAAAAAACACAGATTTTAGGCTACGTTGGTTATGCTTCAAAAGTAAAACATCTATGCATTTCCTACAAGGAAATGATGACAAAAAAGTGGAATAAAGACAGAAAAGATAACAAAAGAAAACAGATAGGAACCAAAGTAAGATAAAATAGACATTTAACAGGAATAAGTGAAGACAAATTATAAATAGAGGACAAAACCACTCTTAATATTTGACAAAAAATAAGCCAATAAAATTAAAAAAAAAAACTTAAACCCACAGCATAGAAGTAAAACAAAGTGTTATAATTTCAGTAAAATAATATATGTGTTAAAAAAAGCATAATAGTCTTGAAAAAAGTGCACTAAAATTTGCCCATTTATTGTCATGAATTTATTAGAACAATAGATGTTTTGAAGAAAAAAATAAGTAAACACTTTTCTAAAACAAGTTACAGATGTGCTCTTGAGCACAGCAGGTAACCCCGAGTTGATCCAGGTTAGCTGTTAACCAGTCAGCCACAGAGATTATAACTGTCCAGTCTGAGCCCATTAGGTCATAGCAGAACATTGGAGATGTGGAGCATTAATGCTCATTTACCTTTCCTCACACAAACAAATGCAAAGACAACAATAAAGATATTTAATAAAAGCAGAATATGTAGACCTTCCTCTTTTTATGCACCGGTTTTGATGTGACTCTACAACTTTTGATTACAACACCAGGAGAAAAGAAATTAAGACGATTATGAAATTAAAATAAAAACAATGACATCTAAATGTATAAATACCCTGCAATAACAAGTATGATCATTAAAAACACCAAGAACATGATAGCAACACTCAGAGTTACAATCTCCTGTAACCTGGAGATGACTGTCACTCCTCATGTCCACTAATGATGACAAAACTCAAAGTTTACCATTTACAGACTTTGTGTGTTTTTGTATATGTGGATTTTTTTTCTACTATTTTATAATACATTTATTATTCTATTTTGTTAAACATGATATAGTTATAGCTATAGAAATTAGGAATTGGAACATAGGCTATTTTTCTCTTACTTCTTAATAGTAAGGGTTGGGCTAATTTGTCCAGTCAAAACTGCATTCAGATTTCTATACATCAGTCTGGAACTTACAACAATCTAAGAGTCTAGTGCTGAATGTCTGGAAAATTAAATCAGAAATAAATCTTTCAGATTTTAATTATTTAGTATACCATCTTAAAAATACACTGTAGAATGTATTTCACCTGAAATTTGACTAACTTCTTGCAATTCTGATGTGCTAGATACTATTGTTACACATATAGTTTGAATAAGTCCATATTTTGTACAGAGTAATTTTCAACCTTTGATTTTAAATAAAATGTCACCCCCTGAGTGTAAATTGATCCCAACCCCAGCCTGTTGCTTGCCTTTTCAGCCCTTAGCAAGAACATTCAACAGATGCTGCCTTTGAGCCTCCAGTATCTAATTATTGTCATAAGCAGTCATAAAATGCCCCCAAACATTTAAACCAATTAAATATCATATAATGTTCACAACATTCTCTCTATGAAAATAAAACTTCTTTTGACATTAAGGCTTCCTGATGACACACCGTGACCATAATTTATGAGCAGAGTCAAAAGTGCAGCTGCTCACTCGTGAACTGCAATTAATTTTCGTTGCACTTATAGCTGCAATTATGATCATTCCCTCGCTGAGAAACTTAGCTGAACATTCCAAAAAAATACTTTGCCACAGTTAATCCCATCCCTAACTTTACCTATACAATATCTTGGATATCCTGACGTTTCACAACAAAAATTAAATACTTGAAAGGCAAAAAAATTGTAATTTTAGTTCAGTCTCAGTTTGAGCATATATGCACTTTTAACAGTCTCTTGTTTAAACAATAAATAGATGAATATTAGGTTAAGTTGGTTGTGAGGAATCCTCGTACCTCTTGACCCTTTTTTTTTTGCATTTTTTCACAAACAATCACAAACTGTAATGTATTTTACTCAGATTTTGAGTTATTGATAAATACATGATTATGCATAATTGTGAAATTGAAATGGTTTAACTTGGGTTTTCAAATACAAATCTTAAACGTATGGCTTGATTTAGTATTGAAAAGAATTTAAAATAATTCCCGTAGCACGATCCTGATACCACAATGTTTATGTGAAATATTGATTTTTAACTATACTGTGAAGCCATTTTTGGACTCACCTAACCACAATCTTTCTTCAAATTTGCCAAAATCATGTCCTATGAAAGCTTTCATTTAAACATTTTTTTCTTGCACCTTTTAAATAAAGGTGCAAGAAATAATTTCAATAACATGTCAAGAAAAATAAATAGTCTTGTAGTGAGTCACACTTCTCCCTTGTGTGACATTGACATAAGGCGATGTGAGTGAGGTGTTACTCTGTGGACCAGAGGACAAGCAGCTACTTAGGATCCAGAACTGGACCCTGAAAAGCTCTTCACGTGGCAATAATTTGTGACATTCTGTTCCTTTGAACATACATGTGACAAAACTATGGCTTATTTCATCTTGGCATGTCTTCTAATTGGTCATCTTTGAGTGTTTTTAGTCTCTTGCAGACATTATAAATGCCAAATGGGACATTACATGAGTAAACTACAGCTTTATACCTGGGAAATTAATAGTATGAACTGTTCTATTCTGTTATTTTATCAGATTTGCACAATTGAGTTAGGAAAACAAAAAAACAAAAGTAAACAGAAAAAAACACACTGAATGTTTTGATGGTTTTAAGGCAGGCAGTTGTCATCAATGTCCACAGAGTATTAGGTGTTTTATGACTGTTTATGATATTGTATCTATGGCAGCTAGATACTCCCAGACTCAAGGACAAAAACCCTTACTGTTGAAATGTTGCCCACCCATTTTAAGCCCTAACTTTTTATACTTTTTGAGGCCATTCAAAACATTTTAAACAGGCGTTGTTTTCCTGTTAAGTGTATCGGAGTTGCTATCCCTGTCCCTTTTGGCTGTCAGCCGGTCCAGGGTTCCAACGTTGCCCCTGTCTCGCTCCATTGTAGCTGTTGAGATTGGGGCTGATGGGGCCGGCGCAACAGCTGAGGTGGAGGTATTCAGTGGGGCAGCATTAGCAGCAGCTGCTGCAGCTGCCAAGTTGGACTTTGAGTGAGATGGGAGTGTACCACTGCTTATCACCGCCCCTGCTCCTGTGCCTCCACTGCTGCCGCTGGAATCTTTCGGGAAGTAATTGTGAAGCTGATAAAGCGTGGCCCGGTCCACTGTGCCGTAGAGAGGTGGGGCGCCTCCTCCCAGGCTCCCCAGCTTGGAGTCCCTAGACAGGGTGTACATGGAGATGTCACCACCACCACCTCCACCACTCCCGCCACTGCTGCTGTGGTGTGGGTTGGGCAGAGTGGCAACAGAGAAAGGAGGAGCAGACGGAGGAAGAGTGAAGGTCTTGGAAGCTCCGACAGGGGACGTCTCCTGTGAACGAGGAGGGTCGGTGGAGCGGGAGCTGGAGCGCGAGCGCCGCCTAAAGCGGTAGCTGGGCAGACGCAGCATGGCATGCGTGGTACTCTTGAAGAGGTCAGTGCGAGAGCGACAGCGCAGCTCCTTGTTCTTCTCAATGTAGATATTGACAGCCAGGACTCCAACCATCTCAGCCAGGATGAAGGACAGACCGCCAAAGTAAAATGACCAGCCATAAGAGTAGTGCCACTTCTTATCCTCATCTTTCTTTGGAGAAATGTCGCTGAGAGCTGCAGAGATGTATACTATCACCCCAATGATGTTGCTAAGCCCTAGAGAGATAGACAGAAAGTAGATGTGCTCCTGACACACAAATGCACCTCAGCTTTATGGAACTTTGAAAGTTGACACATTGGACAACTTTTTCAGTTGGAAAAAGGTATAGTAAGAAAAAGGCATAGTAAGAATGTCAATATGGATTTTGTTTATAAATTCATTGATCTCACTAATGTCTCACAGTAAAAGAATACCTGCAGAAAGGCTCCAGTCTTACCTGCTGCTACAAAGAGAATTCCTCCTCCGAGAATAATGTTCCTTTTGCTCTTGTAGAAGCCGCTGGAAGCAACACACACTCCGCCCAACAGGAGCAATATAGCACTGAGGATTGGAAAGATACTGGAAGCTCTAACCACACCTGCAGATGGCAATGGAAACATTATTGTTTCAGATGGTCTTTGCCAGGATCCAGAATTGTTGCTACTTTTTCTCCCAAATGTTCAACACTACAGTTTTTTAATGATAAAACATAATTCTAGTGCTGTGGAAAAGCTCTCCCTTTGAAACTTGAAACATTAACATAGTTTTTCCTTAACTGTCAAACAAACAACCAAAAACCTCAAATTCCAGCTCTCAGTCTGTTTTACAGCTCTCGAAAGTATTACATTATCTCATCATTTAAAATGTAAAGGGTCAGGAGACAGTAGAGATGATTAAAATGCTAAATTGTTCAATTCCATGTACTGTATAATCCTGATGTACAGCAAAATTTGTCATTTTAAACTTATGTAACCTGAGATGAAATTGTAAATGGACTTAACTTGCATACTGTTGCATAAATATTACATATCTTCCTTAAAATGAACTGGCAGTCACAAAATGTTCATGAATGACACCCAGTTTATACGGGAAATTAAGGTTAAGTGTCTGACAAAGTCTAGGTAAACATAGGGAAAATAAATTTGTAATCAAACTCTTAAAGTTTCATGTTAAAGGCCAGTTCCTGACACACCTAACTTTAATTGATTGCGTAAAAGTGAAACAATTGATGAATATATGAATGGGCCTCTGTAAATGTTATCAGTGAACATTCTATGTATTCAAAGAAGATTTTTGAGAATGACCAAAAACAAATTTTCTGGGATCATTTGATGTGTTTGGGATAAAAGAAATGCTGAATGTAATTCAAAGAAACCAGTCTATAGCACTCAGAGGTCGAAGCTTCAACATTCTATACTTATTTTTTCCGCTAAGCAGATGTTCAGTTCAGCATATACAGAAAAGTTCAAGGAGATCACAATAAAAATGATGCAATCTGCAAGCTTTACTGGCTTCAGATTTGATGTTCACAAGAATAAAAACAACATGATTATATGCTTCTCTTGAATATTATTTAAATTATAAATATTTTACTTTTACCTAACTTTTGCCTTTTGGATTGAAAGAAGGTAAAAAGGCTTTTTTCATGACATTATTAAGCAAATCAAAAATAATTATGCAACAATGAACAGGTGCACATAACATAATAGTTTATTCAGTTTAATAAACTAAAACACACACTACCCTCCCAGCTTCCTTCCCAGAAATATGAATTTTTACATAACATAAATGCAGTACATACCTTGCAAAGTAAAAAGGTTAATGGTGGTATAAAGAGGGTCTACATTTACAAAGGAGAAATGGATGTTGAAATGCAATAAATCCTGGTTAAAAATAGTCTATCAGTGAAGACTGTTCTCTCAGTCGATCTGTGAAAACCACAGCCTTGTGTACACCCCCAGACTCAAAGCACCATGCACCTGTGCAACCGTAAACCCTGCAGACACGCACACCTCCAGCAACACTTTGCTTGAATCTGACATCCGTGCAATGGTGTCCGCCCACCTCCCCCATTCTGCTCCTTTTTGTATCGTTGCGCAATTGAAACATTTATGTGTGTGTGCAAGTGTACGTGCTGTTCGCTGTGCTGTGTGTGGGTATGCCACTGAACTGTTATTTATGTCTCAATGCATTTTTTTGTGTGAATTTGTGATGCATTTTGTAAGCGATACTCACGAAGCAGATACTCTGCAGCATCTTGGTCATAGTCTGCATCGTCGGGAAAATGATTGATCTGGGAACACACACCTCTCTTCAAGCCTGAGCGCAATACAGAGGGGAGGATGAGGAAGGATATGGAAGTACACTTTGTACAAAGCTCTATTTTTGAGGATTAATTTTGTTATAAAATATCTACTCAGAAATGCCTATAATCAATCCAAGATCTCAATAAGCCTTTCAGTTGCATATTTTAGTAAACAGAAGTGAGGTTTGTGCTTTTTGTGGGAGAAAAGCGAGATGAGCACAATTATTGGACAATCAACAGTGTGCAAAATTATTATGCAATTGGAAGAAAAGGGGAAATATTTTCCTCTCACTTGTTGATTTGAAATTTATAAAAAGAAAAATAACAAACAGACAACTCAAAATTTACAAATATAATTTTCCGACATAAAATAAAAATAGTTACTAATAGAACTATAGATATTTTCAACAATAGAAGGATTAAATTTATAGAGTCTGTCAGTTTCCCTCTAATGTTTAAGGAATGGTTTGTCAGGTAAGAAGGCAATGATGTTATTTTTCTTTCATCTATAAAGTCTTTTTCTGAGAAGCCATGCAGTTTATTCAATGGAGCATTGCTCTGTCTAATCAAAGTTGTCTATTTATAAGAGTCTGATTATTTTGAGTGCACCTTCTGTCCAAAATCTTCCAACTACTTCCTCTTCAGTTATAACACTTTCATCCATCTGGGCTGTCAAGAGTCACTCCAATCTCGTTTGAAAAATGTTTCTTTAGAAATTTCCTGATCAGTTTTCAATTATTTCAACACATAGTTTGGTCAATGGTGGTTGAGTTTCAGCCTTTCATGCTATTCCCCTGACTCTGACTACTGAACACACTGTACATCTGGGTACTGGAGGTAGATTGCAGCTATGACAGCACTTTAGGAGAATGTTTTTTGGTATCTTCTATTGTTATCTATCTCAAGATATTGGCAGTTCATTTTGTGTCCTTTTTTTCTTACCACATTTCTTTGGGTGCTGTTGAGTCTTTGAAACAATGTTTAATGGTTCTGTACTCACACACAATATTTTGATTATTTGATTATTTCAAGATTATTGGTCTCTGTAGAAGATTTTACAATTGTTGACTTTTTAGACCCTGTTAAATCTTACTTGGTCCACTTTACCTGACAAATATATCTTGCACAGCAATTAGGAAAATTTTGACATATGATGTTAATCATAAGCCACACCAACCTAATTACACAAATAGACATCACTTAATTGCTTAAAACCATTTGCTTCCAAATGGATGCAATTTTGAATCATCACATTCAAAATTGCACAAGTTGGAGTCGAAACCTAGCATAAAAATCATATGGTCAAAATGTGAATTTACCTAACAGTGAAGTTAAAGAATCAAAACCAGTCCCTGTTTCCAAAGGCTAAGGCTTGAGCAATAAAATCTATCAAGAAACAAAATATATTTTGACAGGATATTTTTAGGACCGGTCACAAATTATAGACACAATTTACTTTAAAAATGTAACTGGTTGGTCAAATCTGGCAAGACAAGAACCGAATTAATTAATTACTTTTATTGGCAGATTATCACTCAATAGGTGTAGAAGCAGAAAAAAACCTAAGTGCATTTACAGTAGTTTGCTTTTTCAGCACCATGGACAGTGCAAAGAAGGCTTACATCATTAAACCAGAGGCTACATAGCAATAGTTCCTAATTTATGCAATGAAGGCATGGCCATTAATGATCTATAGTCTAAGTATTTTCATATGTTATGTCAAGAAACAGTTCCTCTAGAAATATTTAGTGAATTTAAGGATTTTTATTTATTCATTCATTCTAAATAAATAACCTTAAGAAAGAAAAACAAAAACATTTGAGCAGCGCTTAGCCCTCATGATGACAAAAAGCATCTACATCTACATCTGCATCTGCTTCTACAACTTTAAAGCCTGAACTTTGTCTACAAGCAAAATCTAATTTGGTGCTGTGAAAAATGTGGTGATATGAAATAGTCAATGCGTGGTGGGTTGGCATATTTGCTAGCAGTTCTATTTTTGTTGTCTTTTTAAATTGACCACAGCTCTGATTGTTCTCCAGCCATGAAAAGTGGCAGAAACAAAATGACCACAATTTGATGAATCCTTCACCATGACTAAAACATTAGTAGTAGATGACAAAATGTCAGGAAGACTATATATCAGATGGATACTGTTTGTGGTATGTGTCTGTGATTGTACACCTATTTATGTCATGTCTGATTACTCTGATGAGCACACTCATCTCAAAAAGTCCCTCATCCTTCCCACCTAGCAATTAAATACATACTTATCATACCAGACAGATATTTGGTGTTAAACACCAGCTGTACCTTCAAGGCAGCAAATCCTCCAGAGGCCAGAGTGGGTGAGAGCCCCGGGGTCTTTCTTGTCCTTGTTGCTGGAGGAATCCTCCTGGGAGGAGTTGGCTGTGCTGTTGCAGATGAATGCACGGGCATACAGCCAGTAATCTGTGCCAATGGCCACTGTCATGAGAGCAAATGCCGCAAAGGCCCCCATGGTGGTCAACAGCACCTGAATGCCTCGTTCCCACCAAATCATCGCAGGGCGTGGAAGGAAACTGACGTCTAATACAAAAAAAGAAAAAGAATCAGAAAGTTTTAGTTTGATTCAATACTCAGTGCTAAATGTTAATGAAGACCACCTGTTGATAAAACATCAAGTGGAAGAGAATAAGTTGTTAGAAGAGCATTAGGTAACTATTGACCTTTAAGTAGAACCAGAAGAGGCTTGTCTGAATTGGCAATACATTTAACAACCCACTACATGTCTTTTCCGATCTTTTCTCTTATGATGCTTTATAATCAATGTTGTCATTAATTTATTCAGCATTACATTTGTGGTAAATGTTTTAACTGTCCTTGTAGAAAATACATCCATTTTGGTGGAATGAGCAAAGTTAAATTTGCTTTAAGTTATCAAAAGCTTGTATTTTATTTTTCTCCAGGAAGGATGGGAAACCATAAAAAGCTTTATAAAAACAGCCACTAGCTGTCAGTTGTTTGCCTCTTTTTGTAAATTAAACTGTTAACTTATGATGTATAAACAGATCTACTGTCCCTGATGGGCCCACTTGAGGTGACTGTTGGGACCTACTGATGGCGTTGATTCCTTCCCTGCATTCTATGTAAACACACTTGAGTAGTTTTTAATCAAAACACGGCATATATAGCCCAAAGCTGTGAAGAAAGGTTGGCAGAGTGCAGCCAGCTGGAAACAAAATGTCCACATCGCTTGAGCAAGATGTGAAAATTGTAAATGTGGATGCAGGACAGCTACAGATGTTGGTAGTTGTTTGTATTTTATTACATGGAGTGTTGAAAAAAATGTTATAACAGATATGTTAAGTGTGTAGATAAATCATTATGTCTTGGCTTGAACCGTTTCATGAATTACTTGTATTTTCAAGATTCCTGTTTACCAGTTAAATTATTATTGGCTGAGGAGTGAAGCACCAGCCAATCAGTCATTGATCAACATTGGTCCATTATGTAGTAATTGACTCTGCTCAGAGCCTTCCAGGTCAAATACTTAAAATTCAGATTTTTGGTCCTGTTCATCAAAGGCAACAAAGCTGTGTAAAATAATAAGATTCACAATGTTCTTTGATGCATTTTGCTTTGCTAAGTATCAAGTACAAGCATAATTACTGTTACCATGGTTCATATTTATAGCATTTCTTTTATGCTGTACTGAAATAAAATCCAAAACTCTTAAAAATGCATATGGTTTTTATTTTCCTCTAATGTATGGAAGAGGTTTTATATGCTCAATAATTCATTTGAAGATTTTTTTGAACTGAGTTTGGATCTGACTGATGTTATGACTTTTTTCTTTTAACAGTGAAAAATGTGTAGAACAAACAAAGACTCATTTAAAATGTCTTGAAAGTTTTGGTTGGAGGTGTAGCTGGGAGGCCACAGGAAAAAATCCAATGACAAATCAGTCAAAAAATGGTGATAAATAGGGAGACATAGATGCATTCATTCTAGCTATTGTGCAGAAAGTCAAAAGTGAAAGTCAAAAGCTGTGTTTCACCTCCTATACACATTATCTTCCTCTCAATTATCCATCCATCCATCCATCCATCCATCCATCCATCCATCCATCCATCCATCCATCCATCCATCCATCCATCCATCCATCCATCCATCCATCCATCCATCCATCCATCCATCCATCCATCCATCCATCCATCCATCCATCCATCCATCCATCCATCCATCCATCCATCCATCATGCTTCTACACAATAAATAACTTCTGCATTATTGCTTTAAACGCAGAAAACTTGTTTTGTTGTGTTTTCTTTCTCTGATCAACCTGCTGCCTTGTTGGCCCCAAAAAGAAACAGGCTTCCCGTATGTCTATTCACATTTAATCTTGTTATTTAAGACTTCTTAAAAACTGATAATATTACATCTTACCTAACTAAAAAATAACTGTTTTGAAATGGAGGTTTCTTGAATGTTGGATATTTGATCTAATTTGTCTAATTCAAATAAGTAGGAATAAAAATAAACTATCAAAGGATCAAATCAAAACAAACAACAAAAAAATTAAATACATATTCTTAAGGTCTTTGATATTGCATGATGCTGTAATGAAGCACTTTTTTCATGTCGAAAAATTAAATGTCTACAATTAACTGTGTTCAACAAGAGATCACCACAGAGCTATGTATCCTTCCTAGCTGCACTCGATTCTGATTGGGTCAAATTAGAAGTAATTTAGGTGATTTAACCAACCAAAGCTGTGACGGGTAGAGAACATGCATCTAAAGACAACTCAAATGAAAATTCAACTAAAAGAGCAATCACTTATATAACTGTAATTGCTCTGTGTGTTAAACTGTATTACCTAACCAATGTCCATCACTTGAGCCATTTCTGACCCAAACATGGCCAAATCCTCAGCTTTTTACACTAGATCATAGCAATATGTCCCAAAGCTGAACCCAGACCTCTGGACACAGCAGCACCTTAAGGTGGGAGCCGGTGTGAATGTGGATAGGTCGTTTCCTGAATGGCAGTAAGTCATGTGCGTCTATTTATCTGTTTAAATACAGATGCATGATTCATATGTGTACCTACACAAATCCAGATGTGTGTCGGTTGAATGCAAAAGCACATGCGTATGCAAGTGTATTACCTGGGGGCATGCTTCTTCCTTTCGTCTCCATCTCCTGTCCCCCCTGCTGCTGTTGCTGCTGCTGCTGCTGTTCTTCTTCGTCAGTGAAGAGAGCTTCGTAACCCTGGTCCGAACCGCCTCCATCCACCGTTTAGCCTTTGCTTTCTCTCCCCTTTCTCCTTCTCTCTTTTCACTGCTACTTCCCCGAATCTGAGCCCTTCCTACTTCTTTGCGGTCTCTTTTCTTTTTAGTTTTTTCTGTTTTTCTTTCTTTTTTCTTTTTTTGCCACTCCTTTGCTTGTTCTTAGCAGGTGGTGGGTGCTTCACTCGCTGTCCGCTCCTCCTATTGAATTACCATGGCAGTCATCTTCTGCAACTGAGAGAGGCAAGAAGGAGGTGGCGTTGGGAAAGTGGGGTGAGGAGGGAGCAAATGAGAGAGACTGCCAGAAAAGACAAAAGAGAGAGAGAGAGAGATGAACAGAATCAAATCACGGGGAATATAAAGTGAAGAAAGCAAACACAGAAAGAAGAAGACGAAATGAGGTGGGCGGTGAATTCGACTAACAGATGAGAAATGAGTATGAAAACCAGGAGATGCTTCTGTGCAAAAGCATTCCCTGTGAATACAAGCCTTTTGCAATCTAAAATGACTTCTTTGTCTTTTTTAAAAAAAAGCAAATATCCAAAACCTGTAACCTGTAGCCAACAGCAAAATCAAGCCCCCGGGTAAATAAGAGAAGCTGGTTTCCCTCCACAAAGAGAGAGAGAGAGAAAGCAAAAAAAAGAACAAGCGATGCGAGAGAGCGTGCTCTAGTCCATTGCCATGGCAACAGTGAATTCCAAAGTCTATGGTGAAGCTGGTGTGTGTGTGTGTGTGTGTGTGTGTGTGTGTGTGTGCGTGCGTGTGTGTGCGTGTGTGTGCGTGTGTGTGTGTGTGAGGGTGTGTGTGTGTGTGGGGGGGAGGTGTGTGTGTGGGGGGGAGTGTGTGTGTGTGTGTGTATGTGTGTGCGTGCGTGTGTGTGCGTGTGTGTGTGTGTGAGGGTGTGTGTGTGTGGGGGGGGAGGTGTGTGTGTGGGGGGGGGTGTGTGTGTGTGTGTGTATGTGTGTGCGCGTGTGTGTGGGGGTGTGCATGCGTGTGTGTGTGTGTGTGTGTTGTGGGTGTGTGTGTGTGTGTGTGTGTGTGTGTGTGTGTGTGTGTGCGTGTGTGTGTGTGTGCGTGTGTGTGTTTGTTAGCGAGTAGTGCTGAGATGGGGAAATAAAGCGATGGATGTAACAACTGAGAGGATTTTGTTGAGATTAAAGAAAAATTACTTTGTAAATTCTGTTCGCACACAGAGAAGCTAAGATGTTGACACTGGCTGCCCAAACACAGGGATTTCTGTCTTGGACATGTTTGATTCCTCACTGAAGATGAGGAATGAACATTCACAGGAGAGATGACAGACTTGTGAGTCATTTGTGCTGCGGTCACAGCATCTTGGCATGCCTCATCCATCCAACTTTCTTCCTGTTGGTGCGATAGCTTAATCACAAGTACTTAGCCCTGGATTGTACTTTGAACTGCACAATGTGAATTTTTCAAAGCCGAGACATCAAGAAGAGATTTGACAGCTTTCCCAAGGGCATTCCAGAAGAACAGCTGCTTTTCACCCTGAACTTCCATCTTGCATTTCAACATTTTTCCTGGAGAGAAAAAGCCTGTCAGCTCTGGCAGGAGGTCAGGTTTTACTGGTTCTTTTTGTTTTCATTTTCTTCTTACAAGCTGTTGCCAAAACCACAGGGCATCTTAAATCCACATGAGAGGTAGCTGCACCACCACAGCATGGGATGTTAAGTTGTTTGATGTGAACAACAGATGTAGAGTTACTTCACAGCACAAATCCTTTTTCTGAAATTACCAAGAAAGCAACCTTGTATATCATGAATGGCAAGCAGACATTTTGTCTTGCACACACATTCACGCTTCTTTGACCATTTCAGATTTTGTCATATAACATAAAAAACTCAATGGATGTTGTTGGGATTTACGTGGTGGCCTGTACGCTTCAAAAGAGTTTCCTTGCTTGATCTGATTGCTTCTGATTTTTGTTCTTCTGAAACATTGTCCTCACGTCTTTTCCAGCTTCTGCTTATCTGTAAAAATCCCCCAATCATCTCTAACTACTAGTTTTCCCACCCACTTGTAAGAAAAGTACCTCACCGTTATTATTCATCCATTCACTATTTGGGTGGTATTTTTAGGCTTATTAGGTTATTTAAAACAGGGACAGTACGCAAAAAAGAAAACATAAATAAAAATGCTTTGCACCAGATGTTGTTTAAGGTATTTTCTACCTATAGTTCCTGAGGAGGGGAGTTAATAAAACAGTCTAGCATCATTAAGCACACGATGAAAGTCTCCATATACTCTTTAAACCATCACAGTACAACAGCAGCGATATAAATAGTTGGAAACTGAACTTCTGTAATCACGAATGTCAAGCTTAAGTTACAAAATAATTTTAGCAGAAAGATAATCATGTAACTAAATACAATGATATAAATATTTGCCTATTTGACTAGAAAAAAAATGTATGATTTCAGTTAACCAATCAAAGGGTTTTTGGATAAATTACATGGACGGAGTTCAGTCAAGCACTCAACATTTTGATTATTTTTGTTTGAAACAATCTGACCCACCACATGATCCATGTGAGGTTTCCGATCTGAAACAAGTCATAAGCATACACTCAGGTATACTTATTCAGTGTTATGACTGCATTATTGAAGTAACTCAGACTCTCTCTCTGAGTGGATGGAAGAGTTTTCTGCAGCCAACACAGAATCAACACACTTCAGGGGATTGCTGATGCTGGAGGAAAAGTAGGGAAGTAGATTTCAAGAACAAATCAGGCAAACTGTGCATGATTATTACAGCAATGATGTGAGTTCTTGCATGAATACAAAACAGAAGCAGATCACTAACAAAGTTCAGAAGCTTCTTATGAGGTAGACTCGTTGAAATGGTCAGAAGCAGGTATGTGAAAACTATTTGGCTGTCTAAAAGAGAATTAACACAAAGCGGTGATGCTTCGAATTATATATTCTGTGTAATGAAAAGTTTATTCAAAACCTGCTCATATGTTATTTTAAAAGATACTTTTTCTCTGGCAAAATAGCCTCAACAGAATCTATATTTTATTAAACATGAATGTATTTGTTGAGGAAAATTAAATTCCATACTCTGCTTTAATCATGTATTTGCATATACAGTATTTCTGTTTTCATTTTTTGTGTAATTTGCCTTTCATAATTACGTTACCAGTTGCCTTAACAAGCTAAATTAGGAAAGCCCCAGAGAACTTGTTATAGACCCACTTAAGTAAATAAGTAGCGGTCTCGCTGGACCCAGAGCAGTTCGTATACGGTCCTTCATTTGGAACTAAAGATGCAATCATCCATTCTCTTAAGCTGGTTTGTAGTAATCTGAACAAAACATTGATGGGGCCATTTTTATTTCTCCTGTAATTTAACAGTTGAAACTTACACTAAAATCCATTAATTTATAGAAAATGCATTACATGGATTGTGAAACTGGGATTAGTGTTGTGAAAGACTCATTGCAGTTTATTTCAAACACTTTATGGCCGTTTCTCCTGCCAAATGCGCAAATAGGGCACAACTAATTTATTAAGTTCAAAGTGTTTTGCACTTTTCAAATGCGGCTTTTTATTTTCATTCAGATTTTTTTTTATTCGGTTAAAAAACAAAACAAGAACTTACGGGTGGAAAATTAGGTTTTTACTGCAGATATGAAAGACAGAAAAGGTGCAAACTATTGTTCAAAGTGTTCGGGTGCTCAAGGAACCATAATAAGGACTTTTATTTTATTTTTCCATACAGGCAGCATTGCCAGAGAGGGTCAGGTTTAATTGGCCAAGACTAAAACAGTCATGGAAAATTTTTTTTTTTATCTGAGATCAACAAATGTTCCTTGAACACAAAGAAAATTTTAACTTGTAGCAATATAGGAATAAAAGAACAAATGTTATTGTTTATATAGTATTTTTACAAAGTGAACTGGTCGGTTCCTTAAAATCTTAAATTAAAAAAAAACTTTAACTATTTAATTTTTTTGTTATATATGCCAAAACAAAATAAAGTTTAACATTGTTCAATTATTTGCAAAATAATAATAAAAAAAAAATGCTAAAATGTTTTTGGAGCCGTGGTATGATGCAAGATTTTTTGGAGTGCAGCTGATAGTTTGAGTGTCTTAGTTTGACAGTACCTCAGCTACATCATGTTCTTTGGATTATTTTTGAAATCCATGGTTAAGGCAAGCCCAGCAAGGTGATTCTAGGCAAGCCTCAGATGTTCTCTATCATGGATAAACTTAACCTGCTCACCCATAGGTTTGTCTTTCTGATTACTTCACATTACTGTGATGGCATCTTGAATTATTTAAATCCACCGTTCTCATTGCAGCTAAGTTTGTTTTAAATAACTTGCACAAATTAGGACAGACCAGATGCCCAAATCTGTCTCCCCCAAAATGCCTCCAACCTTCCCTCCTTAGATGAGAACAGTCTGTTCCTGCTGCTCAAATTAAAAGTGCAGCTGTGAGCTCAATGGCACAGACAGCATTAAATCAGTCGCAGTCAGCAGTGACCTCAACTTCTAAGAGGAAGTTTCAAACTTTATAATTATTGTCAGGCGAGTTGAAATCTATCAATGATAATATAAAGTTGTTCAACAAAAGCCTGGAGCAGAGAATTTTAGCAGCAGTAGGAACACTTTTTATCAGCTTTATCAGCTGATAAAAAGATAAAATTCTTTTTATCAGAAAAGAATTTAAGACCACAAGCAACTGACATCTTCCATCATCCGCACTGTTTATGCTAGGAAGGTCAACCTATTGTTCTGTCTCAAGCTAACCTTCAGTAAAGTTGAAACCCTGGTTCAAATGGAAATTGTGACGGAAAGGATGAAAAACTGCAATGGATATTAAACGGCTATGTATATATTTCAACATACTTGTTATGTTGAAATACTAAACAGGCATTAAGAAATAGACAACTGGAAATCTGGAGCCAGGCATATATGTTGAAATGCATCACCATGTGCAAAAAAGGTATACATTTTGAGAACAATATTCTTCTCTGCTGTTTATGTCTTCCTTGTACAAAACGGGAACAAGGCAGCACAGTTCGAATGATGTACTCAGGTCTGGCATGGTGAAACACACCACAGAAAAAAATAACGAGTTTCATTATCACTTAATCTGCAAACAAATCATGAAAAAAAATGTAGTAAGCAAATGTGTTTTGTAATGAATGAGTCACTCTTTAACAATGACACACCATAGCGCATATAATTTTTAGGGCGCTGAATGATGGTATCAAAAATGCTATTTTTATTGACATGTTCTTTGATCTGTTACATTTCTTGTCCAGAGTTATGTCAAATGTTTGTCAGTACTGGATTAATCACAAGATGCATTCTCAACTAGCTTGAGAGAGGAAATGGCTGAATAGACCTTGGAGTTCAATAAAACAAAGACAATATCAGCCTGATAGATTATTCCTTTGATTTAGATGTTATTATAATGAATTATTTATAAAACTGTAGAAAGAAAAACGTTTCTTTTCCAACTATTAATCAAAAAGTTTTGTTTTTTTTTTTTTACACAACACAAAGTTACCCTTTTGTGGCATCTTGGTCATTTTTAACTCCGTCTTTCCTAAAAGCCCAACTTTGTGGGCAATAGCATCGGTTCCAAGAGACTCTGGAAACAAAGTTGTTTTTCTCTTGACATTATGTGATAGATTGTTTTATATGTTAATCAATTTATATGTTTTATATGCATCTTTTTCATTTACTAACACATAAATCATCAAAAGGCATAATAAAAAATAACTAATAAAAATATAATAGGAGAATTTGATTAATTCCCCTTTTTTATTTTTTTCAGCAGCTGTTTTTGCCTTAAATAAAAAGCGAGACATAATTTTTTTATATGTTATCGCTGGACAAATATTTCTCAGTTAAGCACAACAATGATGCTTCACAACTATTCTGATTTGAGGGTGTTCATTAAAAATCTGCATAATTAACAAATAGGCCAATAGAAGTCTGGAGCCAGGCAAAAGTTTATTGAGTTCAAAGTTAACAAAACACTGCAAATGGTACACTTTCAGGCATGACAAAAATAAAGTTATGCAATAAAGCAGCTCATTTAAATAAATATTGTTTTCAATTGAGTCTAATATAATTGACTCAAGATGTCCACCAACTCTTACATAATTCAGCCTGGGTTGATTGCATACTTATGATGCAGAGTTAATTTTTACACATCACAGCTTGGGGAAAAAAATAAAAATAAAACTTTTAGCAAAAGAGGTAAACATAAAATAAATATTTTTTAAAAAGCTTCATTTCTCTGCTGCTGTGTTTTCAAAAGAAACACTTTGTTTGGATTTTTCAGAGATTTTCACGCTCAGTTTCATAGACATGTTTATGTGTGCCTGCATGTGTACTATGATTGCATGTGAGTATTCGTAAGCACGAATGCTTAACTCTTAGCAATTCAAAATAAAAAATATTCAAAAATTCTTATCAGCAGCTAAATCATTTCTTATCTAAAAGCTACATAATAAAGAATAATAAAATATTCTTAACACTGCATTGACTACATGTTTCTTTTTTATCATAGTATCACAACTTGTAAGCATATAGTTTTTCCCCATAAATCTAAAAAGGCTTAAAACAATGGCTTATTTTAAGGATGATTGCTACTCAGCTACAAAAACAAGCAATCACTGCAGTTACTGTGAAACAAGATAAATTCAGATTGGAGACAAATTAAAATGTGGGATTTGAATTCTAAAATAGCACATATTTGCACTTATTTAACCAGCAAAACTTTGTTTTCACTGATTTTGAATTGCTTTTCAGCATTGAACATATGACTATAGCAGTTGTCACATTAGTAAAACAATGCCACATGAAGTAAACACAAGTTTCCAGTTTGCTCCCCAACAAGTTTGAGTTACTCAAAGTGCACTTTCAGTAATTAGATTCATTTCTTCTATAAACTTTCTGTTTCAAACTTGGGTGAGTGAGATTTCATTGAAATCTACCAATCTGAGAAGTGCAATGTGACTCAAATGGATTCAAATGCAATTTGTTGTATAGTTTCCTTAAAACAGTTAGCTTAACTGTTTGTGTTGGGTCATGATTGTTAAATGTCCTTTATCTTGATTTTACTAATGGTAAAATCAAGATAATTTTACTAATGGTGTCACCAATGATCACTAATGATTTGAATATCAAATCATTAGTGATCATTGGTGACACCATTAGTAAAATAGTATTTTACATTTCATGCAAATCACCGAAACCTTTGATTCTGCAGAGGATCCTCAACTATCCAGTCAGATCCATAGAAAGTCTCTGAGTTACATATTTAGTTTCATTCCAGAAATTGTAGCACATTCATTCCCAAAGTTTCTTTTCTTTTTTTTTTAAATACAAAAAATATCCATTAATGCTACCACCCAACAAGTTTGATTGGGATTTGTTTTTCTTGTTTTGGCAAAAATTTAGAAGAAGAATTTATACAAGAAACTATCAGGCATAAAACTCTCTATACATATACAGTTAACCCCTACACAATTAGCTGAATTGGTAGGTCATGATACAAAGGCAAAAGGTGAAAGCAAAGCGGATCATGTTTACTTTCTCTTCTTTTATGTTATCGAGATGCTGGGAAAGCAATGTTATCAACATTTAGCAAAACAGAAAAAAAATTATACCTCTTCTCATATTTTCAAATTACAGTTTTATTATTGGTAGGTAAATATGTTTTTCACTACAAACATTTTTATTAAAAAAGTTTGGGATATATTGATCCAATTTCAGATAATCATGGCTCTGATCAAGGGTGTCTAAATTAACCAAGAAGAAAATACATTTCTAATGTCTGTGACTTTATGTCAGCTACATTTCTCACAAAATGTTTGTCAGGCCATTGATGCTGTTCTGATTAAGTTGTTACAGAGTGTATAATGAAAAATAAATCATGATAAAATGGGTTATTTATTTAAACTTATTTGATGAGTTTTGAAGATGAAAACTCAGTTCAGGGCTGATGAATGATTGAGTCCCAAATAACTGAGATCAATATTGGGGATGAAAATGTTAAACAATATTCACCAGAATTTATTATAAAATATACAAGTCAGAAAACGCTTTCCCTATTTGCAAAATTGAATAAAAGATTACATTTTGCAAATAAGGAAATATATCAAGTGTTATCTGGTTAATCAAATAAAATGCTTAAATTATACATTTTATGTTGATAAAATGTATAATTTAAATAATGTTTCCACAATACACAGCATTGTCATGTTTTTTTCTTTCCTAAGTTGTAAGCTTCATGCTGTTGCCTTTGTATCAAGTTCATGATGATGAACATATTCATCAGAAAACCCCATGAGTGTCTTGTTGCTACTAATCATCATATTCCTCACTCCTCCCATCGCATGTTCCCTCCCAGCATGTTAAAGTTTTGTTAAGCGTCTGTCTTCATCTCGGCTCAGCATTACAGTGACTCATCCTTTCGCCCACCTGCTTTTCTTCCATCCTTCCCTCCTTTTTTTCCTCCTCTCCCCTTTTTCTTTTCTGCTCCTCTAACCTCCTTCGTTCAGTTGCTCTGCTGTATCCCTCCTGTATCCCTCCTCCCACGGACTTAAAGGGAGCAGGATTAGCGTTTGTGTGCATCTGGTGAGTGCCTTAGGAGTTATAACATAGGCATGCCACCCCCCCCCCCCCCCCCCCCCCCCCCCCCCAACCTGGTTTATTAACCCCAGCTGTATTCCACCCCCCACCCCACTCCATGCTCACCCAGCCTAGCATGGTGAGGCACTCATTCGTGTGTGTGTGTGGTAGTGAGGAGGAGGCACAGCAGAGGGAGGTGCTACCATTGGCAGGGACTGAGGTGGGGGCCCGCTCGAATGGGGATGTGATTGCGAGTGGGTGAGAGCATGTGGCACCCTAGTCAGGGTAGAGGTGGCACCTGGGTGAAGTGGGTGTGGATATGAGGAGGAGGTGGAGGAGGAAGACGCAGGATGGAGCTGGTAGCTGGCAGCTGATGAAGGCCCAGAAGAAGAAGGCGTGGCCTGGGAGCTACTGCCGCCCTTTAGAATTTGCTGAGGCGGCGGGGTCTGGTTGAGCTGGATGGAGATGTCAGAGGAGACATCAGAGGGACTTCGGCCCCGCTGTGGTGGAGCCCAGGAGTCTGGATGTAGGAACTGGCCACTGTAGTCGCTGCAGTCAGACATACGGGGGCGGTAGAGTGCTGGATGGGGGCGGTAGAGCTCCTCCTCTGCATAACGCTTCATAAAGAGGTAGACAGACATCACTCCTGCCCCCTAAGAAGGAGACAGATAGAGTTACATAAATAGGTTTATTTTATCTTCTCCGAATGTAGACTAAAATGGGCAGGTAGTCATTTTCTTTTAAATTGACTATAAATGCTGTCTATTTCCCCATCCTTGAAATTGACATTTCAGACATTTCATAGGTAGCCTTCTAACTCCAGAGTTTGATGTAAAACCGGTTTGGACATTTAAATCTAAATAGTCGTTTGCTATTTAAACATAGATAAACCTAAATAGAGAAGCTTATTTCAAAACCCCAGATATTTTTAAAATATATTAATCTTCAAATTTAAATGGTCGGGGTTTTTCAATTTGCGCAAGAAAGGATAAGACTCCAGTTAAGGAAAATATATGAATGCAGCATTTAGGTCCTATTTATTTGTGTTCCCGCTGAATTTCGCCCAGTGATTCAGTTGTTGACAGGAACTGCTCTGGCCCAAGAAGGGAAGAGCAGTCAGCTGGCGATTAGAAAATTAGATTCAAGCTTTCCATGTTGACATTTAATTAGTCACAGAACGTCAAGTTGTGTAGCAATATTCTGGACTGAGAAGTGAATTTTATTAGTTTGAATAAGTGTTACTCAAGCCTAAAATGAGCATGAGTGGTTCAAAGACTAGAAAAGTGCTGCATAAGTCCAGTTCATATACTATTTAAATAGTATATGAACAATTAAACAAATATGATCGAAAACCTTATGAATCCCTTCAAAACACCGACTCAAATTTAACTGTTTATAGAAATGTTCAGTAGACAAAATGTATTGTTTAATGTTAAACCTACATCCATTCTGTTGGGACATAATGTCTCGTTTCCTGCATACCATTGTTTGATATTATTTTTTGAGTCTTTGCAACAAAAATAAAACAAATCTTAACAGGCAATTATCTAACTAAACAACAAATAAAGGTAATCTAGGAGCCCAGAAACCAGAACAAATATTTATTACATCTGCAAATTGAGTCTTTCATATAAATTGGCTTTCTGTTTAGCATTCTCCAGCAGTGGTCCAATCACAATCATGTATTAATGGTGTCAGTCTAATAACAGACAGTAATAGCAGGACTATCTTCTCTGAGTCCATAGGGATTTTAGGCTGTTGGAAAATTGTTTCGGAAAACCAAAATTGACAAAGGGAAAAAGCGGACTCTCCCTTTTATTTCATAATAACATCTGTATTGCCACAGGTAGTAGAAAATGAGAAATAATACTCAGCTAATTTTTGAACTAACAGAACACACAGCATCCTTATTTGTGAATTGCAAGAGTTCAAACAGCCATCAGGAGAGGAAAAGATGAATAAATCAGACATCATTTTGAAAAGATTTGACAAAAAGGCCTCAGTGCTGCAGGGTGGAATGAGCAATTACCCCAAAATGTATTCATGTTTTCACTTGGGCTTTCAGTGAGCTTCCTCAGCTCATTCACTATTCATTCACAACATCATGACTACAAAAAACATGTACAAACTTGAATGCTGATTAAAGTGAGAGAGTGTGTTAGAGAAATAGATTGAGTGTGAAAAACTGCTAAGAAATTCTACAGAAATAAGTACAAAAAGGATGAAAAATAACAAAGATCAAGAAAATGTGGATGATTACATAAGATGGGCAAAGAAAAGAAATATTAAAAAAGCTAAATGACAACAGGGATTCATCACAGATTGAAAACTTTAAAAAAAAGTCACTTTTTCTTGAAACAAAACCGGAAAAATTTGAAAATTAGCCAAAAGGGTAGAAATAAATACTTAAAAAATACCTTAGAGAAAATGGGAAGAAGTGCTAATGTAAAAAATATAAAATTTGGTCGAAGAAAAGGACAAAAGGAGCTAGTGTGAAATAATAACAACTTTAAAAATGATGTCACAGTGACAAAGGGGATGCAGCAAAAGCAGTGAAGAAAAGAGGATAAGGTGAGGAAAGGAAAAACAGAACAGGGCTGAGACAAAAGAAGATTAAAAAAATGAAGATAACAGAAGACAAAGAGACAAGATAAAAGTAAAGGGCATCCAAAGACAAGACCAGACTGAAAAGAAAGACCAACAGGCAAGATGAAAAAGAAATGATGGGGAAGAAGGAGGAGGAAAGATCTAAAAATGAAAAGATTGAAGGATGAAAGTGAGTGTAGCAGAGAACCCCCGCCTCCGCCAGCGAGGAATTTTCTGATGCAAAGTGCTGCTGCAACAGAGCTGCTGCCCTCAAGTATTCCAGCTATTAACATTTATGAATATTAATGTGAGCTGAATGACGAGCTCCTACGCAGGCACTTTCAACCATGTGTTTGGCTGAATATGTCGAGTGAGTGTGCAAGCATTTATGTTGTGTCGTTTTCAATGAGTGTGTTAATCTGAACTGTGTTTGTTTAACACCCAGATCCTATGGAATCTGTGTGTGCGTGTCTGGGTTATGCATACATATATTTGAGTCACTTAATTGGCTACAAGGGTCTTATGTGTTCAGTTGAATATTCCAGCAACGTATGTGTGCTGCAGCTGCAGCGTTTGCGGACAAAGTAGTAATACAGCTCCTAAATGCTTCTGCCATGTGTTTATCTACATGCAGGATTAGTAATTAAGTAACTTTACAACTGGATGTTATTGAAATGTGTGTGTGCATACATGAGTGTTTCTTGAATTACCTCTTTGAGCAGGAAGGAGGAGGCAGCAAAGGCAAAGGACCAGCCATAGTGGTAGTGAAAAAACTGCTCTGGCTCTCTGGGTCGATTCATCACTTCGTCATTAATGCTGGAAATGTATAAAACCAAACCCACCACCAGACTGAGACCTGAGGAGGCAAAAACCAACAGACACATACAGCTGAAACCGCATATCATTGTTCACTTTGTAACAAGACACATTTTATATTAACTTGACAAACACCAGAATAAAGACAGAGACAATGTCTTGAGAATATATGTATTTTTGTTTTCTTATCCCCGGGAGTTGACATATACAGTATGGAAGAGAATTAGCTCCACTGATTTAATCTCAGAATTCTGACTTTAATCTTCTGAGATCAAAATTCAGATTTTTGCTATTTTTTCCTGTAGAATTTTGAGAAACAAGTCAAAATTCTGAAATTAGAGTCAAAACTCTTTTTTTTTTCGTATTGAATCATCTTCCATATAATAATTTCTTTATGACTTCAGTCCAACTGGAATAACAGTATTAGTTATGTCATCCTTTAAAATAAGTTTTGTTTATCTCCTGTTTTTCTGAAATGCTGTTCTCATCTGAACATAATTTATTTTTTTTTAACTTGTATTTGTTTGTGCTCTCTGGAAAAAAAAAAAAAAATGCCTGGAAAGCCTAATGATTATGTGTCCTGATGGTGCTGCAAATAGGCTGAGAAAACCTTCACAAGTGGCAGAGCTGGAGCAAAGAGATAAAAAGAGAACAGAGTCTTGCACACAATGAGAGACCTGCATGTCTGTTTGTGGTTTAAAGAAATGTCAGTGCAAAAGGCACGCATATCCACAAATATGACTCTCATATTTTAAACAAACACACATTAAAACAACGACGATGAAGCCTCATTAGGAGTGTGTCAGAACCTCTTCTGTCAAAAGATTCATTGCAGCAGACCTGTAAAGCCTGCCACAGGGGAACCTGGCACAATATGCACAGGAAGGAAGAAATCACCAGAAAAGCCCCTACACCACACTATGTTAGAAAGACAACAAAACCTACAGTGCTTATAGAAAGTAATAAAAATAAAGAACATTTAAGTAAATTTTGTTTTACTCAATTATTAATCCATACTGAGCATAAATCAGATATAAATACATTTTAATAAAGATTCAAATGTATAAAAAGAAGTCTCCAATTACCATATCACAATTAAATATTTTAATGTATTCAATTGCTAATTTTATGGTATTCCTTTCTGTAGTGCTATTTTTTAGGATTTAAACTGTTTCATAGAAAATAAAGTTGTAATGTATCGTCTTAACCATTAGAGGGTAGTGTTGTAACCTAATGTGTTTAGTACTAAGCTCTTGGTTATTGTATCCCACAGGAAATTAAACCTGATAAAATTATGAGCTAATTAAATACCTTCAAAAAGAAAACAAGCAAACAAAAAACAACATCGATCACTTGGATAATCATCAGACAGTCTGCAACAAACCACAGAATTAATAAAGTTTTCTCTTTTTTAACAGTCAGTTTAAAAGATTCATGAAATATTTGTTCTTGGTGTTTCTTCTTTCTTTATCAGTAAAACATTTTAGATATTTTTCTTAATTGCATGGCTTTACACAAATCTTTAATGGCTGCTCACTTGTAGATTATCAATATCACTGTTTTTACAAAGAGAACGTGCAAGAAAAAACACTTATATTTAATATTTACTGTTTATTTACAAAGTTAACATATCTTCAAATTGTTGTAAATACCCCACATTATTCATTGCAGTCCAGTGTATATGAAACCTAAATGTTTTCCTGCAACATTTTAAAAAATGGATTGTGTCTGCAATATAGATTCAATGGGCAAAAATTCTTTACAAATTATGCTGAACAGTTTGGTACGATAGCATTATCCTCTCCATGCTGGCTCTCCAACATTAGTATGACATCATGTGTCCAGTCAGCAGTCCACCATGCTAAGATAGCATCTGTTAGATTAACACTTATGCACATAAAAGATGCAATAATGAGGATTTTCACCCAACAAGCACGAGAGCCAAAAAGTTGCAGAAATCTGTTTATCAGATGAACAGTCAGACCAAAATACGTTAGAGAGAGCTGTCCTGCAGTGATGTAAGGAGGTGATGTCATTCTGCTGGCTGCAATGATTTCTGTCTCCAACAGGAGGCTGATCTAAATGACACACACCGCTCAAAGTCCAGTAATGAGACAAAAAACTGTTAATATGTGCTTCTAGGCATTAATGTTCGTTTAGGCCTTATTTAAGCTCAGAAATTTGTGTTGGATTTTACAAGGCATTCTTCGAATTTATGACATGACTATTTTGTCTAAGAATACAACAAAGCAAGTGCATTACTTAGTTTATTATCTTCCTTTTAGCATAACTAAAAATGCACCAATGACAGGCTGTTACCATATAGGCAAGCTGAAAGTTTTGACACACTTCTCATATATTTTTGTGAATAGTGGTATCTAAAAATCTGCATAATCTAAAGTCAACTAAAGCTAAAAACATTTGATTGAACAATAAAGATTAACATATTACGATTGTATGCAGATGCTTGTCTGACATCCATTTGGAATATATTCATACTAAATGCAGTCTATCTACTGCAGTAAGGAAGGTTGAGCCATCTGGCTACTGTTAGTAGCCTAATGGCTACAACCTATAATTACCTTCATATAGAAAAATAAAAATCAATGTACCAATTTTCTGTTTTAAAAGGAAACAAAAGCATGCACTGAAACATAAAGATAGTGCTCCTGTATAGTTTCCTTGACAGGAAGCTATTATTTGGGATTAAATCACCTCCACGGTACTGCCTGCTGCAAGGATAAGGTACAGCTTGACAGGATGTCAGCTAAGAAAGATGTATAGGAGAAGCAAAAGTGACTTTTATGTCTGCAGAATAACTGTCCCTGCTTGACTACATTTGCCCCTACAAATGTTGTCAAGCACATCTCTACCCTGCTCTGCTGCCATTTAACATCTCATTTTAGCCAACAGCTAAAAGAAGTTAGACACTTTCAATCTGGACTGCAAACATTTTTACATTCTTGAATTAACAAAATAACAAGTCTTTCTGTTCAAATCTGACTTATAGTGAAAGTCCTTTCCCAGGTCTCCCATTATGAAAGCTGTTGTAGCAATTCATTTGAAATAACTCAGCTTTCATTACATTAGATGAAATGCCTTCTATCTGCTGATCCATTGAGGTATACTCTACTCTCCTCTGGAGTTTGCTTCAAAGTGTTTGTGCTGTAACAAGAATAAAACAAGATTCCTTTGCAGTAAAAGAACTGCAAGTGTTGAAGTTGAGCACAGTAAGGTGACGATGCCTTTCTAAAGACTGACTTCAACCTCAGCAGCCCTTTAATCACGAGGCTTTTTATCTTTAATGCAAAGATAAGCTTTAAATCCTCAGTAGCGTGGCTTTTGAAGACCTTTATTGCGAGTTTTACAAGACGGGAATGACTGAAAAGCAGCAGGAGGGATTTAAAATATTTATTATAAAACCTTTAAAAAGTGTCAGAAGATGTCACACAGATCATTTAAAGTTCACTTTAAGTTTTAGCATAAAAACAATGAGTAAAACATGTTTGGATAAAGAATAGTTTTAACATCACACAGACCCTTTAGGAATGGAATGTGGTAACATCATTTCATATAATTACAATAAAAAGTAATTGGAAAATCGAGGCGAAAACTGAAAAAAAATTCTTGGATTTATTCCACAGAATTACAAGCTGCTTGATAATCGCCCTGGAAGTTAAAATGACATCAAATTACCTGACAGTATAAAGAATATCCCAGAAACGAAGGCCAGAATGGTGCGCTGTGGTCGGATGTGACCAATATTGCTAATGACAAAGGCGGTGAAGACGAAGAGCAGGGAGACCATGGGAAACGGTGTGGCTGTCCGGACCATTTCTGAAAAACAGCAAAAGAAGACAAAATAAGAAATGTGAATGATGCAAACATGGATGATTACAAAAGACACATTTTTTTTCTCACTGTTGGACTTTACATTATACTCAAATGCTTTTGTTTTAGGTTAGGAAGGATTACCATAATTATATCTACAGGCTTTGTGAAATTCCATCTCTATGACAGCACATTTTTTGTCTTGGTAATTTAAAATAATGATTTTAAATGCGCAGCTGAGAAAATGACAATAGCATGTGGCTTTTCTCAAATTGTTAAAGGTTGAAAACAAGAAAGTTTTAGTTTTGTTCATGTCTGTTTATCCAGTGTATTGCAACATTTAATTTTAACTCAATATTTTTCTTCAGATAACTTAAGCCTCTGTTTCCATGCTTATTAAATGTGATGTGAACTTGAGGCTTTCATTTCCAAAGCACACATTGAATACAGCCAACGTCTGAATACACACTTTGGCTGAAACTAACACATTCCACCCAGGAAAGAACTTAATCATGGATAATTCTGCAATGACAGAATTATTCTTGTTTTTTGAACAAGAACAATTACACACAAAATTTAATAACTACTTTGTAAAATAATAAAGAATAAGCAGAATGTGTTTTATTTAAGTTACTCTACTTATCTATTCACTGTAAAAGCTGATCTGCCACATCTCATTCAGGGCAAAGTTGAGTAAGGTTATGATTTATTCAGTTTCATCCACAGATGCAATGTGGTGTTATGACTTGTGCATCTAAGAATATCTATCCACCATTAACCAGACCACAGATTTGCCCTAAGGTACCTCCAACAAGGTGTGATTTACATCTCAGTGGAAGAATAAAATGGAGAGAGAAAAACAAGTTTCAGGCTGGTTCTTAGTGTCAGTATTTTAAATTATTGAAATAGCTTTGGGATAAACAAAGTCCACTGGGGGTGCTGTGAAGCTCTCAGAATTCACTTATCTCTCCTTCATAATGTTTTAGGATACACATATTTTGTTAAAAATAGATAAAGTCCTCTGAAGGCTTTTTATTTGCAGAAGTAGAAACCATTTTTTTAAATCTTATAAATAACTTACAAGTTGCATGCACCTTTATGTATAAATAAAAATGATAAAATAAAAATACAAATGAGAATAAGTGACTGTACTGTGAGGAAAAATTAACAACTTATTAAGTTATTCTATGTCAATGTAAGATGTTTTATTATTAACATTAAAAGGAGAAAAATTCTGTGCTTGAGGGTTTAATTAAAAGCAGCATGAAAAAAACCTTCCTACTGTGAGCAATTGTTCATTATTTGCTTCTGGAGTGTGTTTCCCCCAAGATATCAGTCTTAGTAAAACAGAGGCTGACTATTAGTTTAATGACTTCCACATCAAACAGCGGAAGGTACGGTGTGTTCACTGTTCATACATTTTGATTGGGATTTTAAATTTATCGGAAAATGAACAAATAACCCTGATTTTGTAGTATATCTCCTCCTAAACACACAGTACTTCTGGAAAGTTCACTGAAAATAACCAGCAAATAAACATTTTACTGAAGGATTTGACAGACTGAAATCTGTGAAATCCTTAAAACACTCATTAAGCAAACATTTTAATGAGTGTGTTAGATTTTTTTTATTTAAAGAAAGCATACAATTTCCTGTTTTATACAGATTTTTGCACCAAAAGGATCTGATCCAGAATATATATGTTTACTTACTTAGTATGTTGGCTGTGTTTTCTGTTGTGATCTCTATCTCTGGTTCAGTGAAATACTCCGATGCAACACATCTGCCCTTCTCAGGTCCTAAGAGAGGAAGAAATGAAAGGTGGGATATAATATTTGCATATATACATGAAAAACTAGTCCAAAACAAACAAAACAGAAACTACAGCTGAAAAACACAAAGGTCAGACAGGGAGGGCCAGACTGAGCAGCAGAGAAACCAAACAGAATAGTGATTTTGAAAATATACCATCGAACAGATGAATTTAAAAACAACGTAAACAAACTGACACAGAGCTGCAAAGAATAGAATTACAGACACAGACAGATGGAGGTCAGAAGGTTTCTGAGAAAAACAAGACCTGAGCAGAGAGAGGAGAGCTGAACAACAATTAACCTCAAACTGTGGTCACACTGTGAAAACACACACACACACACACACACACACAAAAACGTGTCTGTGCAAAGATATGCCAGATAAGTGATGCGTGCATATTAAGACAAATGTGATACGGCTCCTCCCTCTCTCACCCACGCACCAACACAAGTCTGGCTCTTCAAAATGCCATCAGCATTTTCATCCTCTGACCTTTTGTACCAAGCATCAGAAACATGGCTTCCTCCCCAGAGCGACACCATCATGACCAAAAACACAGCGACAGCTACTGCAGAAAAAGGACAGTCATTTGTGACCGCCTGGCTTTTGTGCGTGTGTCTCGATGAAAACACTTGTGTCTAGTGACAATACATCTCATAAAAAGAGTGAACTTTTCACTGACTCTTTGTTTCATACAGATCTAGTTACACTATATCAAGTTATTAATGTATTTTAAGGTTAAATATCAGGTTTGTAAATGCTGTCTAAATAATATCTCTTTGTAGTGTGTGTTCTTAAAATTAGAAGATCCAAACATGACATTGCCTTCAGACATCTTAACCACATCTAGATGTCAGTAATTAAAATAGTTTGAGAGGTTAGAGTTAAACTGCAGCACTGCCTGCATGGAGTCATAAAACAAAAACTTACAAAATATTGTTCTAGTTCTACTCTGCAGTATAATATCACAACAAATTTTGAATTATGTTGTTTTCTAGTGCCAAACTTTGCAACTTGACAAAAAAGGATAAAACCAGCCATAATATTTATCCCTAACTTCTCCACTCTTCTGTTAATACTACATTTATTGGTAACCTCAGCATTCATGATTTGAATACTGTGGTAAAGCTTCCTATCCATTAAATGGATGACTACCAGCTCATAATTTCTATCCATAGATTCTGACCCAGTTTTGCTCTGGAATGTAGACCAGATTTTCTTACATGAACCAATGTAATTAGCTGTTCACTGTTTCCATGTGCTTGCTGGGCTTCCTTAGCCTCTGGTTCACATTGTGTAATTATTTTCTGTCTGGGCCAAAATCTTGTCATGAAAGAAAATTTCTGATGTAATAGAAGCACCAACTGCTGCTTTAGTTCTCCATCAGCCAAAAACAAAAACCTTGGGGTAAATTTTAAGCAGTGTCACATATTTCACCTGCAGCAAGTCATACTGTCTGGAATCTTCAATCATACAATATAATGGAAATTACTCAAATAGAATCATCAGATTTTTAAGAATCTGATGATTCTTAAAACTTACAAAATACAAAAACTCACACAGACGACCCCAGGCATCTGCCACTCCTCAAAAAAAGCTCTAAAGACCTTGAACCAGTTCTTCCTAATCATGATCCTCATAGCATGCAGCTCTGCATGTTTCAAATCAATCTTGATTTAAAATGATGGCTCATTAACAGGGTTGAGGGGAATTTAATGACCTGCTGTGAAGGTAATTAATGCACTTAAATTAGAGGCATTAGTGCAAAACACCTCAAAAACATACAGGACAGCCTGCTGCAAACATTACTTTTAGACTCTCTGCAGTGAACCATTTAAAAACAAACTAATAAACACATAATAGTAATCTCAGGAAACCTATGAAGAAACTCTAGTTAAAATCTTTATAAAATTGAGAAAGAACTCACTGCTCTGTCTTTTCTCCTTTCCCCAAAAAAGGATTGTTGTTTTGGGTAAAATTGGACTAAATATTTCATGTTTCTTTGTCTCTGTTTTTTGAGAAGGCATCTTTCTTCTTCTAAGAATACAAATCACATCCAGTCTTTTTACCACATATTTGTCTAATGTTTACTGATTCTGGTTGCAGACCTGCAACAAAACAGACTCTCCAGAGCCCGGAGTGGAGCGCCATCTTGACCTCCATGGTTTGGTTCTGCTGCAGAACGATTCCCTCTTCCATCAGGAGCCAGTAGTCCGTTGATACAGCAACACCCACCAGCAGCAACCCACAAGCTCCAAACACCGACGAGAGCAGAGTGAGCGCTCTCGTGCTGAACGAACTCATCTAAGGAGCAAAGAGAAAAGAATTGGTGATAATTTGTGAGAATCCTTGGCTAACGTTGGAGGTGTAATAATAATAATAAAAATATAACATTTGAATAGTGAGAAAGTGTGTGTTTTTTGTGTCAGTTTGAATAATTCATAGATTTCTCCAAGGTGACTTGAAACACGTTGTAAAGTCTGCAACTTAATACTGCACCATATTCAACATTCAACCTTCCTTAAAAGCAGGCAATTCTTTTAATTTTTGGTATATGTTCAGCAAACTTAAATTCATCCTCTGCATCACCAAATGAGGCCTATTTATGAGGTTTCCAGGTAGCATGCAGTGTAGCTTATCACTCACTAGGTGGCAGAAAAGTTGCCTCTGACATGCTTCTCTATAGCTGTTGACACTGAGACATATCCTCTTCTCATACACACACAAACACTCATCCATCCAGTCAAAATGGAGGTCTCATTCATCATACAGTGAACTCTCCTGATGTAACAGATGTGATGCCTTCGATGATCCAAAAACAAAACACTGACCCAGAACACCGATCTACTCTGATGAAAGAAACAGTTCTTCATTTTAGAAATTATTGTTTTAAATTTATTCATGATGCACAATGTGAAAATAAAGCGTACTTTAAACTAGCAGTCAGCTTGTTCTTATTCTTATTAAAACCATGTTAAATACTATGCCACCTGCAGCTCTCATCACCTGCAGGTGCATAAATAATTAAAAACTGAAAATTGAATTCCGTTGATATGGTTTAAAGGAACATGCTACAGGCTTAATGTGCACTTATAAAATGCATGAGAAACAGCCTTTAAATTAGATGCATTCATACTCATGGTCACTAAGCAATTAACCCTTTCCCTGTGGGGAAAAAAAAAAAAGTGTGAGACAAATTCCTTTGCTGCTTCTTTGTCAGTCTCTGCCTTCATTTAAATACTGTGTGTGGCATTAGGTTTATAATATTCCAAACAACCTAATTTTGTGATTTAAAGTTATTGCTGACAGATGTTTTTTTTTTTGTTTGTTTTTTATCTCAAGATGCTGTGCTTTAATTTGGGACTCATTTAGTTTACAGAGGAGTTCAAGGATGACTCAATGAGAGCAGGTTTCTATAACACATGTACAAACTGTTCCTTTCACTACCATTCTTGATAATTTTATGCTGATTTATGTGCTTGTTTTTCTCCAAACATGAATATATGTATTATCGTCAAAAATCTCTATTTTGCTCTCAAATGGCCAAAGTGTGTTTTCCCAAAAGTCTTGAGGTTTACTTGGGTAAAAAATTATACAGCCAAAATCTGTTTTGAAATAATAGGCATTCTTTTTAACTTCATGTCAAAGATCTATTATTTAAAAAAATACAAATTAGTGTTTAATGCAATTAACACCTCTTAAACTTAGTTTGTGGCAGAATAATCTTGTATTGACAATTTAATTATAGTCTTTTAAAATTTCAACAATGCAGCCTAAAAGCATATTACTGCCTATACTGTTATATTATGTTTCTTTATGTTTAAGGAATATAATATCAAGTTTGCAAAATGTAATTGTTGTGTTACTGATCAGACATTGATAGTGTTTAAACATGTAATATCTTTTGTAATAGTATTTTGGTTTCATACATTTGGAATAACATAGTTCTTTCTTTTTTATCATAGCTCTCTTTTTTTCCAATTGAAATCCATTATTGACTATTGAAATAACAGCTTTCACAAATAAATCTTCTCTGAGGAACAGAAATGACCAACAGTATTAAATGATAGCTGTTTGTTTACATAAACATATTTACCTTGAAACTATTATAGATTGAAACAAGGGTTGAAGGACGCTCTTAAACCTTCAAAATATTAAATTTCAGAGCTGAAAGATGATAAGAGGACAGTCTAGCAGAAAACGAACTCAGCAGACAACAACAGGACAGATGAGATGCACAAAGTAACCTCCTGTCAGGCAGAAAAAAGAATGAGGTGTGGCCTGTCACTCAAGTTTGATGCTACATTTACAAAATGCTATTGATAAGCATGTTAACATGCTAAGACATAGTTTTGTGTACGTCAGTCCTGAGGGACAGTGTCATCCAGTTTTGACAAACCCAAGTCAAATAATTAAGTCATTAGCAAGAACTTGACTAATTTGTCTATTTGATTCAGTTCTGTTGGACCAGGAATCTAAAAGCTGCAGGTCACTGCCCCTGAAGGACTGGAGTTATGTGCTGCTGCTGTACTACTACAGATTGGCACAGACAACTTTCTTACAAGTCTGAAGTGAATTATCTAAAATAAATCTGCCATTCTTGATTGCAACTGTGACTCTTCAGGTCAACAACTTTTCAATATATTCTCTCCAATCTAAGTGCAAAATTAAATACAGACACCTTCTGTATTTATGTTGCCTGTACTTGAAAGAAGACTTAACCACAATTCAAAGTGACATTGTCTGAGTAAAACAAAAGGTGACTTGTGCTTTGCTCTTGCACACAAGCATCAGTCATAGTGTTGAAAATGTCAAACTCAATGCAAGCTGCAGCCGGGCGCTCAACACTGCTGTGTCAAAATATTCAGATTCTTCAATCCTACACAAGTAAACAGACCCAGGATTCAGGCAGCTGTCTCACCTTTTGGATGTAATTTTCTCTTGTGTTACAATGTATAATGAACTAAAAGGTACAGCACATATTAATGAGGAGGATAATTCTGAAATGATTAAAAAACAGTTCAAATAAAATTGCTCTAAACTCCTCTGGCTTACAGTTTTGCTGCTTAACATAAATATTGTGTTTTTCTCATAAATAGTTCAAATGTAACTCAATTGCCTACCTAATAAATGTTGCGTTATGGTTGGATTTGTAATTTTTAAATGGTTTCCTCCCTGGAAATATAGCAGTCAATTTTCCATATTCACATAAAAAATATATCATTTTTTCTTCTATTAAATAAATGTTAATATTAAGAGATTTATCATTTACATTTGATTCTCAATGACATTCTTAATTGGTCACTAATGTTGTCATGATGCTCTGACGTTAAACATATAGTTGATTAAATAAAATATTCTTTTGCTAAAGATGTGAAACTACAGGTATGACATAAACATTTAATGTCTCACTACACATTTTTTTTAGCTAATTTGAACAGACAAGTGTGTGGAGTCAGCACTGTGGAGCAACTTTTAGCCCACTACTGCAGTTAAGTGTAGCTCAAAATATCTTCTCTTTCTCTGTTTGTTATGCTTTATGGGTCATATAGTTTTTTTCCGTATTTAGTGAAAATTTACTTAAGTAATGAACAGAAGTGTTATCCTGGAAGTAAAAAAGTAAAGAGACAGAATCTTGATGAAAAGTGCCTTTACAGGCCTGCTGATTGGAGTTTTATTTAATTATCCACACACTCGCCATCAGGGTCCTGTCACTCCAAAGGACACAAAAATCTGATTTAAAGTCATTCCTGGGAGGCTCAACCTATCCTGTCCTTTAATCATTACATACATGATTTCAGGTTTTACACCCCTTATTACACACAAAATTTTCCCATATTTTTAACTTGCACAGTTGTAATGACTGGCTTTATGGGCTAGTAATGTATGTTTCCTAAAGGGCAGTGAACCCTAGCAAAAGACTGTTGTGAACATATTTCTGCCCTTCAAATGTGATTAACAAAGGTTCCCATACCAGCTCCACCCAGCCTGTGTTTGCTGAGATAGCAGACAACATTTGGGTTGGATTGAGCTTCTTTGTGTTGTAAGCCTTGAAAATGTGGTAACAATTCCCAAGATGTGCCAGCCGCTTATTAACTGAGCGAATGGAGACAATAGGATTTTATGTAATGTTGAGAAAATACTTTGAAAAAAGTGATGTAACGCTAGAGAGAAGGAAGGCTGAGATGAAATTAGAAATTGAATGGAAGGACAAGATTGACAATTTTTGGGACAGGATAAATCACAATAAGATGAATAACATAGGAAGTAGGGATAAAATTGTGCATAGTAAGAATCAATTTGGGCTGAAAATGTAAATGTCAGTATGTGAAAGAAGGGAAAATATCAGAAGGTAAAAAAACAAAACAAAACAAAAACCAACTCATTAGCGCTGGAGTGACTACCTTTATTTTATACATGCATTCTTAAGAATTGCCATGAATAGAAATGCACTTTGTTTTGAAAGAAGGTGTATCTGACTGCTTCATTAGCATTCACTTAGCTGCAATAAGCTCTTGACTTTCCTAAAATCACTGTGAAGTTTGTCATGCAGCTGATTTCAGATATATTGCCAAGCATTTCCTTAAAGATTTTTAAAATGACACACTTATGTGTGTGAATTTGTCCTTTGAGCTGCACACCACACAACAACTTGTGTTATTCTTTGTGAAATAAATATGGTAATAAAAACTATTCCTATAGTTCTCAGCACAAATTCTGAAACATAAATGTGTCATTAGAAAAGGCTTTAAGAAAATGCCTTTACAATCACAAGTATAGCCGCAAAGTGAAAGGGATATGATTTTTAAAAAAATATTTACAGATAAAAATGTGAAATGTGTGGAAAGCATATAAATTCAGTCCCCAAACTATAGAAAAAAAATCTACAACAACAGCTGTTGAGGCACATTAGGCCTACAGGGGGAGCCACCTCCTTTGGTGTGGTATGGAATGGTCGACAGCTCTAAGGGGTGTGTCAGACATGCTGTAGGCTGCAGGAGCTAAGCTGGGTGGTGGTGGGTATCTCTTCTTCTTTAACCTCCCTGGGGCTAACTCACCTAGCAGGTTGGTAAAGTGCCCTTCCTCTCTTCATTCCTCTGTGAAGAAGCATGTTGGGGGTTCTCACCTGCTTACTACTGGGCTGTCTTGATTCTAGGGTTTGTGCAGAAACTTGGCGCCATGTGGACTGGGGTTGGCCTGAGAGGTGGCTGCATGGGCTGGGGGACCTGTGGTTCAATGACCATCTACCCATATGTAGAACATAACGCTGCTCTGTGGTGGTGCATTTTGTCTTCCCACCTGAA